TTTTTTTTATAAAACTAACAAAATCCAGGTTCGTCATCGTCTTCAGCAGTCGATGACGACCCAATTTTGGCCTGGAGCGCTATTTTCAAGCTTCACCGTCTCATAATTCTCTGGCGTGTTCATCGGCTTCTTCCGTTATTTTGAGAAAAACAAAATTAAACAACTTTGTTCCTTGACTAGCTGCTCTGTTAAGCTCTATCAATTCGGTCTTGTCATGTGTTATGCTACTAATTTTTTGTCATAGCTCCAGTTGATTGCTAAAATTGGAGGAGAAATAATGTAATGGTGTTTGGAAAGCTCTGGCTGAGAAACAAAATTTAATCTTAGAGGCTGTGGAGCCGTGCCAATTTCAATGGCGGTCTTTAGGGATTTGGGGGTAAGAAGCGGATGGGATAGAGAGCGGCGAGATAATGGCTAGCGTTGTTTTCGTTTTTTCATTTTTCTCTTTTATTATTTTCTAATCAAATTTGTACAGTTACTCGCTTTTAGGAGCGTGCAATCACTTATTTTGTTTGACTCAGCAAAACAAAGGCCACGTAAGCTTGGTCAATGGTCAGAGGGATTTAAAATTAATATTTTATACAAGTGCAAGTGCCTGATTGAAACTATGCGGAGTAGCGGGACCGGGATGTCAAACCTGAATAAGTAAAAGTATCTGCCAGGCTATTCTGCCTTTATTTAATATTAAATCATCCTCCCACAATCTTTTCTAGAAGAGCATGAAAAATTAAAAAAATTAAAAAAAGGAAAAGAGAGCAAAAAGAAATCCTAATTGTGGGTCCTAACAATATTCACTAGTCTAAAAGGGCATGCGGAGAAACTTCCCACAAGCCAAAGCTAGCACGACGCTAAATTTACTTTCGAGTGGTACAGCTTTTCATTAGTGACGTTTATGCCCGCAACTTTTTTTTTTAAGGACAAAAGGTTCAAAATCATTTATATATTATTTAAAATTCCTTAATTTTGCCCTTCTTTATCTTTTCAAATTTTGAGAATAAGAATTTAAATTATCTCTTAACTTTTGACTATAGTTTAACATTACTCATCCGCTAGGAAGCAAGGACACCAGAGGTTTTTTTCTAACAAAGGATGAAAATTACTCCCTTCATCCCAATTTAAGTGAATGTGTTAGGATTTTAAGAGTTAATGAGTTATATTTTGACCGTAATTCTCATAAAATTATATGTCTTTTAAATATTTTAAATTATTAATTATTATACTTACACTATTTTTTATGTAGTTTTTATATATGTACTAATTATTTTTTAGAAAAATTAAAATAAATTCATATCCAAATACATGTTGAAACTAAAAAATTTGAATTTTATAAAGCCAAAAATATTAAATAAATTGAGACATTAGGAGTAATAGAAAGCAAAATTATTCAATTTATCGTCACATGGCAAATTTGGCTATTTTTGTTCTTGCCCTCACCGTTTTCCTCTTTTTTGTCTTTTTCCATTTGTCACTTATATATATCTACCCTTCACTTTCTACATCTTTTGCCATTTTTTTCCCACCCTGCTCTCACGAGCTCTCTTTAACAAGGGTGTCAACATTTACTCAATAAATATACATCAAATTATTTAAAAATGGCAACCGGAGCTGCCGGAGACGGACTATTCCGGGGAGTATTCGACGGATGTATCTCCGGCCACGATACAGGGATCCAAAGCAGGCCTTACCACCGTAACTGTGGCTGCGCACTTCATAAATCCCGTGGAAATTGCTCTCATTCTTCTCCTTATATGAACGTATCGTATCCGATTCGACGGTCGTGGAGCGAAAGCTGTCTAGCGTTGGCCGCTGCTTCCTCCGGCCATCCCTCGCCGTGTTCTTCTCCTGCAGCCGCCGCCATGGACGGCGGTAAGAAGAATTTGGTCCGTTCTACTACTGAAGATCATGACGATGTCGTTTTATTTAGGTTTGATTAAAATCATTTCTCTTTTCTTTTTTTTTTTTTAGTAATCTATGATTTAATTCCACAAAGTAGATCCGGTTATGTTTGATACTGTATGTAAAACTTCTTGTAAACACTGATACTAAAATAAGAACTATTTTATTTATTTATTTTAGGTTTTTATTTACATGTGTTTGATGCATGAACACAAAATGTTGAATTAGGAAAAAAAAAATATACGAGTAGTTTATTTGGTACTTTTATGGATTTTAATTTGTTTTGTTGTCGAGCAAAATTTTAATCAGTTATTTTTTCTCCACAATCAAGTAAAGACTGTTAAATCTAATGTATTATTTTGAATTTTGCTTAATCAGATAAATTAAACCAAACTAAACTAACATCATTTTTGTTTTTCTACTTAATTATAGTGATTCATTCAGCTTGCGCACAATTTGACTATTTTATCTTGTACATGCTACCTTTCAATAATTAGTTTACCGGCTACTGATTGAGTATATAATTTTGCTAATTTAATTTTAGTATTGTAGTTAAGATGTTTTAAATAAGTGCACGCCAATGCCAAATCAAGATTTAAAACTTAATTACAAGCTGTAGCTTACAGAAAAATGAACGTTTCCAGGCTGTAGTACAAGTAGCACAGCACATGTGAGCACTAACTTTTGCTTCGATACATGAAATGGTCGGTCCCAAATATTACTTCATTGTCATAACCACTTTTATTAATTACAATTGTGAAAGAAGAGGTAACCTCGGAGCAACGATAAAATTATGGGATCTTTATTTATGTATCTAGTTATATTAATTGTTTACTTTTTCGAGCTATATACATAGATCGTATATTGATTATACACGATTATACACATATTAAGCATAAATTACACATATATTATACCTTCGCCGGCTATTTTTAGTTTAAGCGATTGAGTGGGCGGCTAATTGGGTTAATTATCTCTGTGTGACCTATAAGTTATAGATTCAAATTGGGAAACAGTCACTAATGCTTGCATTAGGGTAGTCTTCATCATGCTCCTTGGGGTGCGGCCTTTAGCGAACCCTTTGTGAATACAGAATACTTCATGCATCAGACTGCTTTTTTTTAGTTGCTAGAGGAAGATTATGGAAATAAGTATAAAACATAGTTATTCACTTCAACTCCAAATATTTTAGGCCCCGTTTGGCCATAAGTTTTGTCAAAATAGATTTGAAATTTATTTTCAAAACTCATGTTTGTCCATAAATTTTGCCCATATTTTGGCCAAATTCCAAATCTCAAATCTCAAACCCCAAAATCAGCTATTGAGCTGATCTTGGGCCAAAATCCCAAAACTTGGGAATTATATACATGTTTTTCCAAAATAAAGTTGGAAAATATGTTTTGAAAACGTATGTCCAGACACATTTTCATCTTCAAACCAAACTTCACCCAAATCAAATTTTTCAAAATAAATTTGAGATTTATGGCCAAACGCTAGCTTAGTCTCTTTTGGTTAATTGAATGTTTTCAAAAGGTTTGACGTTTTATAAAATAAGAATAAAAGAATGATGTGACCTATAATATATACCAATATAAGAGTTTTGGTCTCGATTTCAAATTTTGGGAATGATTTTTTTGTTGTTGTTGTTGTTGATGAAAAGAGGTTTATTTCACTTTAGTAAGCATATTTAGTGCGAATTCAAATTAAACAAATTAGTAGGTTCCGGACATTAGATGCTTAAAGTAAAAAAGAAAATCCTTTTTGCTATACCATAGGAAATAACTAGTCGATGTACAAGTTTGGAAATATCAAAATGTCATAGTACAATAATTCGTCAATTCGAACAAGTAAAAGAATTAGACCTTTACTATTGAAAAGGGTAAAAGTATAAAAGAAACGGGAGGCTGTCTAGGACAAAAAATCTAGTTAAAAAAATGCCAAATTAATACTTGGATATGTAACCCTCAGCAGTGAGCTAATGAACACGGATTCTTTTTTAGAAAAGTGATTGAAATGGAATTTAATTATCATCTAATAAGATATTAGACTATCACTAATTAATTGCCAGATTTCAAGTTTGATACACTGATACTGTAAAAAAATATTTGCAATATTAAGTCAGTTATAAGATATAATTACATATAAATCTTTATGATAACATTAATTGGTAACTTGATAAAAATAGTAACAACCTGCTATTATAGGTAAAATAATATTTTAGTGTAAAATTATTTTACATTATTCGTGTATATAGTTTACATCCTCATTATAATGAAACTTATACTTCTTAAAGTTGTTGGCAACTTTTCATAATATGTATCCATTAAATCGAGTTTAGTTATAAAAAAAAAATGGTTAAAGAAAAAAAGAAAAGATCTTTTGGCTGCATAGTCTCTACCTCTATTTTAAAAGGTAGAATTAGGACTCGCCCCAGGGCGGAGCACTCGTAAAACGCCCCTGGGCTTATGTGTGTGGCTTAGTTCCGTGAGACTTACGCCTCGGCCATCGGGGCGTGCGCCCAGCGTACTAGGCTCGCCTCATAGAACTTTATGCAATTGTATGTAACTAACCTTGTAAATCCTCAAATTTTCTTAATAAATCGTTGACTATTCAAAATTACTTTTTTCTTAATCATAAATCATCAATTTGAGAGTATNATTATTTGTTATAATTTTGTGATTTTAATGTAATTTTTATAATTAATTTTCATTTTATGCTATCCTAAAATTCTTGAAATTAGTAAAATTTAAAGATCCGTGGGACTTACGCCTTATGTCTCAGGGCTTACGCCTCGCCTCGTCAGAGGTAAAACGCCTCGCCTCACGCCCCCGCCTTTTAAAACATTGCTTGACACAATACATCAATTATAGTAGTATATTTTGCATTTTGAAAGTGTAAGCCAATTTGCATTTCTGAATATTATAATTTTTAATACATAATAACTTTTGAACATTTTATTAGTCCGCTTCAAATTATTTTGAATTTATTTTAATATTTGATATTTTTAAAAACGAACTAATAAGGACACTTCCCATAATAGGGAAAAAAGCATAAACATAATATTACAAATTGAAAAAAAAAAACTCAAAAAAAGCCTAAACGGGGCGGGACGGGCGGGGCAGGGCAGGGCGAAATTGAAAAATAGCTAAATAGGGCAGGGCAGGGCGGGTCGAAATATTAGCAGGTCAAGGCTTGCCCGCCCGCCTAACCTGCCCTGCCCCATTGACACCCTACTTCACTAAAGGAATACAAAATAGAATTTCATCACTACAAATCTCTTCAACTGAAGCAGTATATCTTGCCATTACGAACTANATTATTTTAAAAATTTTGAAATTAGTAAAATTTAAAGATCCGTGGGACTTACGCCTTATGTCTCAGGGCTTACGCCTCGCCTCGTCTGAGGTAAAACGCCTCGCCTCACGCCTCCGCCATTTAAAATATTGGTCTCTACCTATGCTCTAAAATAGATTATAGGATTTCACCTTCCACCTTCGATAAATAAGTCAATTTGAGGCTTCTAAAATTAACACAAATCTGAGAATCGACACTAGCCTTATGTTATATATCATCTACGAAAAGGAAATTAAACAAAAGTTCGTCCGTATTTACTACATATGCATCTTTTATGTTAAAGAAATCAAAGAGAAATCCAAGATGACACCAAACAATGTTATGCTTGTGTCTCTTTTATTTTTTACATTGTTTTCTGTAATCTTCTTTCCTCAATCTCTAGCAATGACCATCCGAGCTAAGCTCGAACGGTTTAAACCCAAACAAAATTTCACCAGCAACGTATTCCGAAGTTTCTTGCGACTCTTGGACGTGTTGCGAGTTCGACGAGGGCAGAACACATAATTATGGAGACGAATTATTTCATTACCTCCAATAACGAGGTGGAGAGTGTTCCTAATGTAGCTTTTGGGTGCAAAACACATAATTATGGAGACGAATTCCGGTACAAGTACAATGGTATACTTAATTTAGGGGCAAGTCAAGCATCGATAATGACACATACAGGTGAGGTTAGAGGGGGGTTTAACACTCCTTGAGATCTATAATAGCTCACATTATGTTATATTGGATGAGATTAGCATGGGAGAAAAACATTTATAGGTCTGCATGACAGATAAATGTTTAACTATCTTCTTCTTTTCCCTTAACCAGTTTAAAATTTTTATAGTTGTCAATATTTTTATTCTTGAAATAAAATTGTCCACATTACCTAATTTTGCCAATGTTGGCTTGCTAAAAACAAAGTCAAATTGCACTAATTCATACCAAGAAAATGTTGGAAGGTTGTTGCATGCCAAATTAATAAGCACTACTTTTCGCAATTGATTTCCTGACATTTATGTTTAATATATTGCATTAGATTAATTTTCATAAAACGTTATGCAAAAATAAGTTTTGATACGATATGTTTTATGAACCAAACAAATATTCGGAGGACACACGAAAAATTTGAATTAGATTAATCCTAAACTCTTTCAATTGAAAACAAGCAAATGGAGTTCAAATTCAAACTGCTTACAACATTAAATCCTGCTAAATGCCGCAACTAACTTGTTTGCTTCCCAATCCCAACTATATTTTTTCTCAGCAAAATTTATTATCTTCTATTTATCTAATTAAATCAAATTTGATGGTCATTACTTGTTTTGAGCATTAGCTCGTATGCAAACCCATGGAATATAGTAGATTACGGAAAATTCAGGTTATTTAGGCCATGCGAATGTGGTGACGTGCGAGTGACTTGCATAAATAGGGTAAGGAGAATCAAACATTTTGGTATCATTATTGATTTTTAGAAACTTATTTACCACTTTTCTTTAGGTTCCTTAGAGATTACATTGTATATTTATATTTACTATTTGTATACAAAATCATGATAAAAGAAGAATTCCTTAAATTTAGGGATTAAACTATAACCCCCCCTCCCCCTCCCAATTCCCCACATCTATCAGCTTAATTATCGCCGACAATCATGATTTTTCCCTTCAAAAAGTCTTAAAACGAGTACTATTTACCAAAAATACAGCATATAGCTTTATACCAAAAGTCATGACCCAACTCTCACCAGAGCCGTGACGGCACCTAACACTACTTGCTAGGCAAGTCAACAGTCACACATAACAATGAATTTGATAAAATAAGGTTCAATAAACTCAACAACAGA